ATAAGGCTCAACAATCAAGGAGCTCTGTCAGAGTTTCGTTCAGAAATCCCACGCTTAGGAAATCCTCATCACGCGCTACTCTGCAATTCGCTGTATTTTAATTAAGTTTTGGAGCATTCGAGACGCTGCCGAAACTGTCAGAGCCCTGTACTATAAGCAAAAGAATCTGCCAGGAGCAGTTAAGCTACCTGAAGCAGAGATAGAGAGAGAAAGAAACGCTATTACGACGGCGTATATGGTAGACACTAGGACTACCGCAGCTCTGCAGTAAAGTGTATATGTATATGTATGTGAGTAGGTTAGGAATGGTAAATAATAGATCGTCCTTAGAGATTATAGCATTATAGTAACTGGATCTGGTAGAAAGGAACTAGAATCATATAACTATAGAATTTGAATATAATATGTATATATATATTTATTTTATCTTGACTGAAATGTGGTATAATATTGTAGAGTGCAGTGTAGTAACAATAGTGGATTATACAGTATTCCTAAATAATATTGATAATTAAAAGTTTGACGATAGGTACTTCGCTAAGGACCTACCGGGCAAGTGTCGGATAAATGTAGGGGAAATAGGAAATAAAACTTACGGTCGAAATCTCGCAGGGACACGATGAGTCGGATGAGAGTATGCCTGTGCTGGTCCGTACAGGTTCGCAAGGGGTCACAGATAAATAGTGAGATTACCGAACAAATGCCTGAGGCAACGGGTCGGAGAGTAGGCTGAATCTCGAAGAGTCCACGAGCAAATGCGAAGATAATGTATTCAGGAATTGTTCCGAACAGAGTGCGAAAAAAATGCTTCACGCAGCTGCATGAGCGCAGACTTAGTATTCTGAATTTTACCCGAATAAAATGCTGCTGGAGCTCCGGGAGCACCGTTCTTATAGGTCTCGAGCGCGGTCTTCGGCCGGTTCCGGTCGGTTCCGACGGCGGTCGTCTCGCAGCGCCGCATCCGGTGGCGAGATGGTGGTCTCGAGTCGGTAGTTCTCAAAGGGATGCCGCTGCGCTTCGGCTTATCGTTTGATGCGCTCACCCGAGGTGGTTGGATGCGCTGTGGCATAGCGATTATGCATCACGGTGATGTCATGCTGGACATGTAAATTCGTGTCTGCGCGAGTTCGCTCGCGAATATTCCTATACTATTCGAGTTTCTTATTAATTCCTTCGTCATATATGGCTTTTGAGTGGTTATATGAATACTTCGTTTCTATAATAATAATCCGATCTTTATTCTTAGCCGTTTTTGACGAGTGAATTAGTAAGATTCATTGTTTTAGCTAAAATAAAACTTATAATAACTAATTAGGGTTTATTCTATGAGAGCTCATGATATCGTGGACTTTGGATTGCTACTCTTAACATACCTTTTGAATTGTTAATTATTTCTTATTGTGAATCAATTTGCTTATAATATATTCCGTCCTTGTCTCCCAATATCGTGACTTCTCATATAGCGCTTTGAAGAGTTTAAGTACTATTTGGTTCATATGATATACTATGTCTCAGATTAGTACAAATCGGCCTCTGGTTGTCGCGGGGTTTAAATACCGTAATGGTCGCGAAAAATTAAAGTTTTCTGGGGCTGGGACGTTACATCAGACATAAAAAACGTTATGTTCTCGTTTTTGTTTTAGGCCTGCCTGCATACACCGACAATAGCCTGGGCTGGTAGAGAACCGTGCATCGAGAGGAAGTAATTTATTCGTATTGTGAAATAATGTAAAAGTGACGTGATTTTATGTTACTCTTTTAATGTATAAAGAATAAAATTATTTGACATGTCATTATGACATAAGAATTTATGAATTAAATACTGAAGATTTTATGTAATAATCGATTTATTGAATAGAAATTGTAAAGTGCAATATGTCATCAATTGGACAGAAAAATAAAGAAACAGAATTAGGATGGGGAAGGGAATATTGTACCCGGACTAGTGTAACGTCTAAGCCTCCAAAAACTTTAAAACTTCCGCGCCACTACAATACTAAAGGGTCACAGTAGCCATCGGCCGATTTGTGCTAGCTGAGATATAGCATAAGTAATATTTTATGTAAAACTTCATGTTAACAGCGACGCTATTAATTCAGTTGTTAAAAAGAGCCGAGACTATATCATAAAATATTGACAATGCAAGTAAAGGCATTTTAGCATGATGAAATATTATCAATATTAATAAGAAAGTATAAAAGCCATACATAACAGCGGAATTATTAATATAATTAGAATAATATAGAATATTCGCGTAGCGAACTCGCTTGGACACGAGCAAACGCGTTCAGCATGACATCATCGCGTCGCTATGCATCACGCCACCGTGCATCACGTCATCCAGCCACCCGCACGCATTACCGAGAAGCTGAAGAGCAGTGGAATCCCTTTGGAAAAGACCGACTCAGGGTCACCATACCATTCTGGAATTCGGCGCTGCAGCCCGACCGCCATCGGAAGCCGCCGGAGCCGAGCGAAGCTCCGTCGGAGGCCCTATAAAAGCCGTGCCCCCAGAGCGCCCGGAGCAGTTCACAGCAGTCCCGCAAAATTTGCAACAATGCTACACAATTTTTCGGCAGTCTTTATACACAACATTCGTTCGGTCATCTGCCGAACTCCATACATACACATAATTTTACACTTCAATCTTTGTACTAATTTTTCACGCCGACCCGTTGCTTGTAACGTCTCTCGCGATCACTTAGACACAAAAAACGTTATGTTCCCGTTTTTGTTTTAGGCCTGCCTGCATACACCGACAATAGCCTGGGTTGGTAGAGAACCGTGCATCGAGAGGAAGTGATCTATTCGTGTTGCGAATTCGTGTAAAGGTGTCGTGATTTTATGTTACGCTTTAATGTGTGAAGAATAAAATCATTTGACTTGACAATAAAAAGGTATGAATTAAATATTGACGCTTTTATGTAATAGTTGAATTGTTGAATAAGAATTATAATGTGTAAAATGTAATTAATCAGACAGAAAAATAAAGAAATAGAATTATAATGGAGAAGGGGAATTTTATATCCGGATTATGGACGAATAGAGGTTGATTGTTACGTCCCCGCTCGGCCGCGGCTGTGGCAACAGTGCTCGGGCCCTGGAGCGGGGGCACGATCGCTTGGTTTTCGGGTCGCTGAACCGTGTGGCTCTACCCGGGGAATACGCGATCTGAGGGCCCCGATGGTATTTTATTTGGCTATCTGGTTCTATTACCGACTTCGAATTACCGACTTCAAGTTACCGACTTCGTATTACTCGTATTACCGACTTCGCATTACCGACTTTGCATTACCGACTTCGTATTACCGACTTCGTATTACCGGCTTCGTATTACCGACTTCGAATTATTGAAGATGGCGCGCAGATATGAGAATGGTAACATGATTGGACTTACCGACGTTGCGTACACCTGGCTAAGCAGAGGCAGCTAAGGGGGAAGAGTGCCCTTACTCCAGAGTGATTACTTCAGGTGTCTGGTCCCAGTGGTCGGGTGTGGTGCTTCCGTAGTGCGCGTGCAGCAGCTCTGCCCGGATTTGCATGTATCGTTTCCTTCGCGGATCACTCTCCGGAATATTGAGTGGAGGTAAGTTCGGATATTGTATCTCCACCTTGGTGAGATGATAGGGCTGTTGGGGAATGGAGTATGACGGGGACTCTATCCTGTCACATCCCTGCGTAACGTACGCGAGCACGAAAAACTTTTTTCCCCTCATTCCTTTTTGGTTGCTCTGTCCACACTGTTGGAACAACAATTCAGTCATTTGTTTAGCTCTAAGTCCCTCGGTTGCCGAGATATTAATTTGTTAATTAACGACTTTGTTTAATTCGAAAGCTTGCGCCGTGGGAACAACAATCCAGTCATTTGTTTAGCTCTAAGTCCCTCGGTTGCCGAAATATTAATTTGTTAATTAACGACTTTGTTTAATCCGAAAGCTTGCGCCAAGGGAATAACAATCCAATTATTTGTTTAGCTCTAAGTCCCTCGGTTGCCGAGATATTAATTTGTTAATTAACGACTTTGTTTAATCCGAAAGCTTGCGCCGAGGGAATAACAATCCAGTTATTTGTTTAGCTCTAAGTCCCTCGGTTGCCGAGATATTAAATTGTTAATTAACGACTTTGTTTAATTCAAAAGCTCACACCGTGGGAACAACAATTCAGTCATTTGTTTAGCTCTAAGTCCCTCGGTTGCCGAGATATTAATTTGTTAATTAGCAACTTTGTTTAATTCAAAAGCTCACACCGTAGGAACAACAATTCAGTTATTTGATTCACTCTAAGTCCCTTGGTTGCCGAGATATTAATTTGTTAATTAATGACCTTGCTTAATTCAAAAACCCACACCGTGGGAACAACAATTCAGTTATTTGTTTAACTCTAAGTCCCTCAGTTGCCGAAATATTAATTTGTTAAATAACGACTTTGTCTAAATCAGAAGCTCACACCGTGGGAACAACAATTCAGTCATTCGGTTAACTCTAAGTCCCTCGGTTGCCGGAATATTAATTTGTTAATTAACAACTTCGTTTAGTTCGAAAGCTCACACCGCGAAACAACAACCCAATCGTTTTTTACCTCTAAATTCACGGGTTCTTGCGGTATTTAACTGTAACATTGTTAAAATCCCAAGCACCAAATACTGGAGAGTTGAGGACCGCCATTTTGCTAATTACGAAGTCGTTAAGGGGGAACACCACGGTGACGGTTTCAAAAAATCGATTTTTTTTTTGCATTTTTGTGATGTTTGGAGTCTTAAAAATATGTCCCTATAATATTATGGTGAAATTCGTAACGGAACTATAGTAAATATGTCATAGAGTAGAACTTGGTCAGATGCCGCTAGTAGAACTGGCCGCGCGCTACCTGAAAAGATTCGGCAGTCCCCTTGATCTGTCTGTAGGGAGTTTTACCGGTATTCTTTTATTGTCTACGTGCTTGAGTTCTGTTATAAGTGTAAAATCTTCCTTTTGTAAAGCCTGCACTTTTTGGAAAAAACGAAGCAATACTGTAGAATACGAAGAGTGGTTACAATCTCATACAGATGAATGCACGGCAAATCATGAAGGCTCCTCTGGAAAAATGGAAGTCGATGGAATTCGCGAAATGTTTCTAAGATCCGAAAATCTTCACAATGTTCGATATATAAATTATATTGGAGACGGTGACAGCAAAACTTACAAAGCAATCGTCGATTCGGTTCCGTATCCTGTTACAAAAAAAGAGTGCATTAACCACGTACAAAAAAGAATGGGCGCAAGGCTACGTAAATGTAAAAAAGAAAATAAAGGACTAGGAGGTAAAGGAAAACTTACAGCGAAATTAATTGATGATTTAAGTACTTTTTACGGACTAGCTATTCGCAGACATCAAAATTCTGTGGATGAAATGTATAAAGCAATTTGGAGTACTCTGTATCACAAGAGTTCATCTGACGACAATCCGAAACATGATTATTGCCCGGAGGGGCCAAATTCTTGGTGCACTTGGCAGCGAGCAAAAGCTGTACGACAAAGCGATTATACACACAAAACACCGCTTCCTGATGTAGTCATTGATGCAATCACTCCCATTTATAAAGATTTGAGTGATAAAAGGTTACTTGAAAAATGCTTGGGAGGTTTTACTCAAAATAATAATGAGAGTTTTAACAACATGATTTGGAGCATCGATCCAAAAACAACATCAAGTGGAGGTATAGTCGTAGAAATCGCTGCAAGCATTGCTGTTTGTATTTTTAATGATGGATACACCGATGTATTAAAAATAATGGAGCTGCTGGGAATTAGAATTGGACTGTCAGCATCACAATTTCGCGACTACAAGGACGATCAACGGCTTTCACTTGCAGACCTCCGAACGCAAGCGGCGACGCGTGAGGAAAGATTGCGAAGAAAGCAAAGCAGAAACGAAGCCGAAGAACTAGCTATTGCTTCAGAAGGCACTTCATATGCACCCGGATTGGACGCACTTTGGTTCGTTACAAAATTTTATCGTTTTATACGAACCAATTAGTTGTAAAACTTTAAACGCGTTTTTCTCGAAACCACGTTTTCGTAACTGGGCGCTCTCATCTCTCGGCCAATTTTTATCCGATTAACTTGAAATTCGGACAGAATGTTTACAACAAAATTGTCTTCAGTTGCACGTAGGGATTTTTCAATCGGATTATTAGTTTTTGAAAAACAATTAAAGAAGTAACGAATTTTTGTTGAAAAATCGAAAACTTTTTTTTTAAACAGTGCCATTTT